AAAGATCTGTGTCTGGAAGAAAATCTCACTGCACAGAAGACCTCATAATAAATGAAAGTAACTAAAGAAGTTACTAACAAAAGTTTGTACTAAAAATAACTAAAAGTTCAAGACAAAATTAACTCATTTTTGGATAAAAGTGTTCAACCTCAAATTCTGAGTGCTTGACAACAAGAATATAACATCTCCAGCATAAAATAACAGCAATTCTCTTTCTATATTTTTTGCACATATGTCTCCTATATTTTTTGAAATATGACCAAAAAAAAACAGGAAATAGAACATTTTTACCAAGACAAAAAGAGGTCAATAGAAGTAAACCTACAGATAAACCTAATTTGATATTATCTATCTTCAAAATAATTTACAAATATTCTCTTAAACATGGAGAAAAAAGAGAATATAGAGCAGTATAAGTTCCAACAGCGAAATGGAATATCTCAAAATAGACATTGTAAGTGAGCATTCTAGAAATGAAAATTGCAATATCAGATATATTAAAATATAAGCACTGAGAAGCATAGATTGAACATAACATAAGAAATGATTAAGTATAGAAAATGGTGCCTCCCTGGTGGCACAGGGGTTAAAGTCTCAGCACTATCAAGTCATCACCAGCCACTGTGGCAGGAGTTTGATCTCCAGCCAGGGAGCTAACTCACAAGGAATGGCAAACTTCTCCTGTCTCGCCCACTGCTCCATTCAGCAGTGTATTTTAGTCAGTCTGCCTATTCTGTTCCCAACTCTGTCTCTGGTGAATCCTCTCACTAACTGCACCTCTGGTCTACACCCCAGTTCTTGAGTACATAAATAAAAAGAAATCTTTTTTAAAAAAGTATACAAAATGCACAACAGGTTTATAAAAGAATCAAAGAACTACCAGTGGCCTACTATACTTATAGTGATTGTCCCAAGAAGAAAACAGAGAAGTGAATAAGGAAGAAGAAATAATGACCAAAGTTTTTTTTATAAAACTGATGAAAAACATCAATTCACTTGTTGCATCGGGTAACACCCAGTGACAAAAACACGGGAGTCGTGGAGCAGACTGCATAAGGCAGGATGCTGCTTGAGAGCAAAATCCTGGCCATTTTTATTGATAGAATAATCATACAGCATCAGCTACATGCATTAGGAGGACAAGGAGAAAGGATGGGTGAATCTCAGGAACATCATCTAGGGCTTGGGGGGACATGAGTCTGCTGACCATGTTATCAGCTTGATGACCAAGTGTTGCAATCGAAACTGGACCCCAGACCCCCAGCAATGGACCTAATCTTATCAACAAGGCATTCCACTGATCAGCTTCTGGGGCTCCCCAGGCATTCCTGATCATACCTCATGATGTATGAGTCGAGAGTAAGTTTATACATCTGTCCTCAGCCTCCCAGGCATTCCTGGTCATATCTCGTGAATACCCTTCCATAGTGATCAAGGCTTTCTGCTCTTGATTGATATGAAAGGCAACTTGTAAGGTTTGGCCTCATATGAATGTGACCAGACAGTT